ATCTACACTGTGAACTGAGAACTTTTTGAGGATGTCGTTCACGTACCGTAACTTATCGCAAAATATAGTGAAACCGTAACACTTGTCTATGAACTAAATTTCAAATAGTCTGCGCGTAGTATAGAATCAATGAAGTGAACGGTCGGTGATAAGTTTGATAGTGATGCGTAAGTATGGTTATAGATATGGTATTATCGGGATGGTGTTGTAATTTGTTTGTCAGCAACGTGCGCGGTGTTAGTCGTGGAGTGTGTGCTCGGCGAGTGGCGAGCGGTGGTGCGTGCGCCGGTGGGCGGGGGCGGCGGTGGCGGCGGCGGCGGCGGCGGCGGCAGTCGTCGGCGCGCCCGCCCGCCGCCCTGCCGCCTGCCGCCTGCCGCCTGCCGCCTGCCGCCGCTGACATGCCGCGCGGCCGCCCGTGACGAGAGCCGCGCCGACAGCGAGCACTGCCAGCACCGGACCGCGCCGCGCCGCGCCGCGCCGCGCCGCTCGCGCCCTAGCGCAGCCCGCACGAGGCGATGTCCGCTGGCGGCGCGGGTGCCGCCGCCTGAGAGCCGACCGTCCGCAGCCCGCCGCCGGTGTGTTGTTTGTTTTGTGGACGTCGCTCACCAGAGCAGCCGCGAGTGTGCCGCCGCGCTCCTGCTCCTGCTCACTGCCGGCCAGTGAATGTAGCATTACGTTTCATTATACCTGGGAACTGCAGGCAAGATAATATTGTATATACCTAATTTAAAGTGCGTGAGACAAATGTTTAGCTGCCGATTGTCACTTCGATCAATTTACACACACGTTGGAAAGTTTTTATAATTATTTCTAGTTTCATTTATATTATATTTCTTACCAGTATTATAGATATTAGCAATACTAAAATTTACAATAAACTATTTAATTATAATTGTTTTTGTTGTAAATATATTCAGACAGAAAACTTTTTTATTGTTCTAAATTTATATTTATCGTTAGACGTATGAATTTAATAAAAATAAAATATATAACCAGGTAGTTGTATATTTACAGTAGTTGAAGTGTGTCACTTTAGAAAGCGAGTGATTGTTAGGTATTGTCGTCTTCACTCGACTGCAGCTGCATTTGCTTGCAGCTAACAGTGGACTAGTAGGTACAGTATCTACTTACGATTATGTATTATTATTGGTTATTAATTCTCGTCTGGAAACTAATACATTTATTATACATTAAATGTTTCAAAGTATGACACACTGGCGGGATATTTGTCACGCTGCACGTAATGTAAATAATACACGTGACCAAACGATGCCCTGTACTCGTAATGTCCTCTACGTCCAGTACTGGATCCTGACTAATAGCGCACGTTCACAATCGTTCGTATAGTACACAGAGGCCGGTCATACACTGTTTGTTACACTGCTATACATAATATAAATAATAAAGTATTTCATACAATGTAAATGATAAATGTTAAATGCAGACTGTGCCCGCAGCCTTACACCTCACTCCCTCACTGATACTCAGTTGATAACATAATATTACATTCTGATACTCAGTTGATAACATTACTATGTGGAGTAGGTACCAGAGTTATCTCTCGCTACAACACGCACCTACTCGTACATCATATAAATTTATTCAAGATTCATTGTCGGAGACAGTGATCGATGGTTTATTTCTATCGACTTTCTCTGAGCCACTAGCCGATATAATATAGCAGCAATAAAATGTTACGTCCTCGGTGGGTAGGTAGGTAGGCACTCCAAATTGGCTGCCGACGTGGCCATTGAGAATAAAGTTTCTTTCTCGAAGTTTGTTCCGTGTCTTTTAACTCGTTTTACGAGCTCAACTGGTCTACGTTCCGAGTACTCCAATACCGTACAATTATATTAATAGACTAGAGTGAAAATGAAAATAATTATTGTAATCAGTACATTTGGTGTATAGCTTACTGGTATGTTGATGATACGCGTGTACATAACTATGTCAATACGGGAGCAGCTTCCATTCAAGAGACGTGACCTTGTCTCACCTCGCCACACCACGCCCAGTTTCAAATACTTGGAGACAGTTTGAACTTTACATAGTTGAGCATCGTGCATATTGTTCTCCCGGTTGACGTCTTCTTTATCAATTGACTAGTTGGACTCATTATCATTACATTGATAGTTTCCGTCTGTTTGTGAGGATCCATGTGCGGTTGCGTGTTGCAGCCGCAGCAGTGTTTACTGCCTCGTTGTAGTTTGCCGTTCATACTGAAGTGAGTGTCACTGCTCTCATTGTGACCCGTTGTCGGCGCACCTCTTTGACAATTACACAATGAAGTCGTTTGTTTAATGCGTTTTTATTTCAGTTGTACTATATTGGAAAGTTTAATAATAATCTATACACATAAATAAAATTGTAGTGTCTGTTTGTAATACTGAAATAACCGTTTTTTACTACATGCATATAAATATAAATACGATACATATACCAAAATAATTTTTGCATTTTTTGTCTGTCTATCTGTCTGTCTGTTTGTTCCGACAAATCTCTGAAATGGCTGTACCGATGACGGGACTTTTTTTGGAAGGTAGCTGATGTAATAAGGAGTAACTTAGGCTACTTTTATTTTAGAAAAATAAAATTAAATTCCACTCGGACGAAGTCGTGGGAACAGCTGTTAAAAATAATAATAATATTTATGATGTTTACTACTCTTTTATACACTAAATTAATTAATTATAACTCTAAATTAGTATAGATTATGTTTATCATTGGCACACATTGATTGTATTGTTATTTTAAATATCATGTACCAATAACGAACAAAAAACATGAAATGTGAATTACGTGTTAGACGACCTGTTTATTAACACAGATAATATAATATAAATTATTATGAAACGGAAACAATGTAGCTAACGTATCAGTCAGAAAAGGAATAAAACATACAGCCGACAAATAAATATTTTTCATCCATTTATTTATTTGTTTCAGGCAACATAATATTATTTATATAACAATACTAGATGTGCCCGCGGTGAAACCACGTGTTAAATATCAATAAAAATTATAGCCTGTAGGCGACGCTCTACGTTCTCAAAATATTTTATATTATTTTTTATATGTTGTGTGTGAAAGAGTAACAAACATCCATACTTCCAAACTTTCGCATTTATAATATTATAAAGATTATGATTGGTTCATTATATAAATCTATACCTTAAGGACTAACATATTTGTATAGAAAGTGAACATAAATGAAAGTAACGTGTGACATGGTTCCACCAGAGGCCTGTGTCGGCCGTTAATGCCAGGCGACTCTCACACACCCCACTGAGTACTCGATGCACTAAACCTATGTCCAACCAAACAATATTCACTTACTTATAAGTAACAACAACCTCGGAGACTAGTGTCCCCATAGCTAGCAATGTACCATGTTAGGTCGACCTCCACGCGGTTTCCCCCTGGAAACCATCGTGGTTAATTCCTAGTTATTTAATCACGATCGGCAAACTGACCTGACCTTTTCATCTTTTCATCTTATCATCCTGCACTGGTGCCCCGCCAGCGTAACCCGTTAGCGCAGGCGGGTGCACCATTCCATTATCATACATGGAAAAAAAACAACAACCCCGTACCCAGTACAGTAGTCGTATGCCGCATATTGTTTTTCATAAATATTTAATTCTAGTTCAGGTCAAATTTATTTATTTAAATGGGTTCATGAGTACGAGGATCTTTGCAAAATGTAACATTATTATAACTTTTGTTAGTACAATGTTATCCAACTAAAAGCGGAGCGCAGGAATCTAAGGCTGTATTTCACCAATCATAGTATAAACACGTTCAAGGAAACCGAGTTCAGCGTGAACTAGATTAGAAAAACAACGATGTTGATCTCGTTTTATTTTAAATGGAATTCACCAGCGTTGTACAGATCGCGTTTACCAAATGAAGTTTAAGTTTTCATTCGTTCACAGTGTTACACGCTCATAAAATAATATTTGACGTAATGCGTAATTTAAGTGACATAATTTTAAGAAATATTTGTAATTCAATCATGTGATAATTAGGATAAGTTTTTTAGCTTTTCATGTAATAAGTACTGAAGACGTCCGCGCCGCGATATTCAGACAGCCCAAAAACCTCGAAATGAAACACCACATACGAGGGAAAGAGTATAATGATATCAAAAAATGGTGTTACAAAATACTGAATAATAAAATTTTACAATTGTGTATATCAATCGATGAAAACGAAATAATATCGAGTTTCAGAAATCTAACAGCGCCATCTAGTATTCATTTCGGAACTAAATTACGTAAACAACATTTGCATTCTACAGATAATCATTGTGAGATATATAACTTATTTGCTACATTATTTTTATACTAACAGTACTATTTAATTATACAGATACTATATTTATAATTAATACATACTAGATATAGTGGCGCCCTCAACATTCCGCCCACCAAGAACATGTGTTCTTCCAACAACAGACCGTGCAATGTATATCTAAATTTTAATGAATATCTTTATGAAACATAAGGGTCTATTGGAAGGCGACATATCTTGATGAGTGGACGCTTAATTACAGAATTTCTACATCTTAAACTAACAACACGAATCAAACCGTCGTCTCCTGGATGTACATCAATGATTCTAAAGGGACCACTTCCCGGGTGGTAAATTTTCGTCCTTTACAATAACGAGACTATTTTAATATATATGTGTCTTTTTGTCCATTTATTTATTTCAAATATTCGCGAGTCCATCTGTCCCAAAAATGTTGTACCATTCTCTGTACTAACTGCCAACGATTTAAACGGTTTATATTATCTGCGATGTACGATCTTTCCGGAACTATAATAGGTGGTACTCCTATCAAAAAATGACCAGGTGTTAGAGGTTGTAAATCATTAATATCATCACTAATTGGCGAAATGGGTCGAGAATTTAAGCAGGCTTCAACTTGAGCCGTAACCGTAGCCATCTCCTCATAAGTTAATGTGGTATTGCCAAGAATCCTCTTCAGGTGAAATTTAATTTCCCATATGCCTCCGAAATGGGGCGCATTTGTGTGTGCCATCTCTAGCAAGCATGTCTAAAATTTCTCCAACAGTGCGCAATTGTTCTTTTAACAGGGCTCGTAACTCCTTGTTACCAGCGATAAAGTTAGTGGCATTGTCGCTCCACATGTGACGGCAGTGTCCTCGTCGAGCGGTAAATCGTTTGAACGCAGCAATAAAATCGGCACTCTCTAAACTGCTTACAATTTCAATGTGAATGGCCTTTGTTGCCATGCAAATAAATATACATAGATAACCCTTAGACGTTTTACAACCTCGACCCTTAGATATACGCAAGTCAACAGGTCCAGCAAAATCAACTCCGCTATGCAAAAAGGGTCTTGTGGGTGTTACTCTTTGTGGAGGTAGATCGGCCATTAATTGTGTACCAATAGTTGCACGATGTCTGGCACAGATAACACATCTATGCACTTCTTGCTTAATCATTCTCTTGACACCGAGAATCCAGTAATTCTGTCTCAAGAAACTTAGCATGAGAGTTGGACCCCCATGTAAAGTTTTTTTATGTGCATTTGCGATAATTAGTTTGGATAAATAATGACAATCGGGCAAAATTATCTGATGTTTCGCTTCTTCAGGAATATTAGCGTGTCGTAAACGACCTCCGACTCTTAATATGCCGTTTTTATCTAAAAATGGACTAAGAGATCGCAGATTGCTGTATTGTTTTACAGCTTTACTGTCCTTAATACTCGCTATATCCTTAGAAAATTCTTCTTGCTGACATATAAGGATGCATGCTTTCAATGCATTGTCTAATTCTTCAGCTGTTACATATTTTGGGAATTTGTTTATCCTTATCTGTCCGAAACGTTTACAAAGTGCTATTACTCTCTGTAGTCTTGTCACTGTAGAAAATCGTGTAAATATTTCTGAAAAGTTATTCTCTATCTGTGTTGTAAATACTTTTACCGGTCTTTGTTCTATTTCTCCTTCTTTCAAATCTGGTAGGGTTATCATATGTTTTATAGTATCTCTTCTCAACCATTCTGGCCCTTTCCACCATAATGTCTCTTTCTTTAACTTAGATGCAGTAACTCCTCGAGATGCTAGATCAGCAGGGTTCTCCTTGGATGGTACATGAAACCAATGATGACCAGGTAATGAGGTTATTATCTCAGATGTCCTATTTGCCACAAATGTCTTCCATGTGCTTGGATGTTTCTGGTGACGTTCGAGTCAGTGTATGCATAAATGTGCTGTCTTGGTACATTCAAATGTTCTGCAATCTCAATAAGCAGCCGTGTTAATAAGACCGCTCCACATAACTCCAAACGTGGCAACGATATAGTTTTTACAGGAGCCACCTTAGTGCGAGCTGAAATTAAATGAATATGGATTTTATGGGTAGAATCTGTAACTCTTGCATACACTACTGCCCCGTATGCTACAGTGGAGGCATCTGAGAATCCATAAAGTTCTAGTTTTGTATCTAAACTAGTTGTATTTAACCATCTCTCTACAGTAATATCAGATAAACAGTGTAATTCTTCTCTGAACTTGAGCCAATTATATGCCAAGTCACTAGGCACTTCTTGGTCCCAGGTTACACCAGTAAGCCATAGCTTCTGCAAAAATCTTACCAATGATGATAACTGGCGCAAGCCATCCCATTGGATCAAATAATTTGGCTACATCTCGTGCAATAGATCTTTTTGTCACTGGAGATGATATATCTGGAATATCTACTGAATACTGAAACTCATCTTTTGTTCTGTCCCATACTATTCCTAATGTTTTAATTGTACCTTCCAGTTGAAACTCTAACTCAGTAACTTCATCATCTGCTTTTCTCATATAACTTAGAAGCTCTGTATCATTAGTATTCCACTTCTGTGACTGAAACTTGCCAGCAGCCATTAATCCATTCATCTCATCATAAATCTTTTTAGCGGTTTCTATTGTATCTGCACCTGATAATAAGTCGTCCATATAAAAATCTGTAGTTGTAATTTTTGAGGCCAAGGGATACTTATTCGTCTCCTAGCAAGCTGATGCAGAGTTTTTGTCGCTAAATAAGGAGCATAGTACCGAAAGTGACTAGTCATTCTATAATGTTTAACGTCTTCAGTAGAATTGTTTCTCCAAAGGAGACGTTGATAATTTGAACTTGCTTCGTCAACTTTAATTTGCAAATACATTTTTGTAATGTCGGCCACTAAACAGATCTTGTGGTATCGCCATCGTAGAATGATGTGGCGTAAATCTGGTTGAAGACGAGGACCAACCATGAGACTATCATTGAGTGAAGTTCCGTTTTTGTATTTACACGAAGCATCCATTACAACTCTCACTGTCGTCTTTTTCGGATTAATCACGGCATGATGAGGTATATAAACAGCTGTTGGTATCTGTCGATCATGTTCCTCAACTATCTCTTCCATGAAATCTAAATTTAGGTACTCCTTCATGACATGACTGTATTGTTTCATTAAATCAGAATCTTTTGTAAATCTCTTCTCCAATTGTATCAGTCGTCCTTCAGCTATATCTCTCGATGATCCATATTGACAAGGTGGATTTTCTTTAAATGGTAGGCGTACTATAAATCTACCACTTTTATCTCTAGTATAAGTCTCCTCATACATTTTCTCACATCGACTCTCCTCTTCAGTAAGAATCTTCTCATGTTTAGAATCAGATTCCATCTCCCAAAATTTTTGTAGTAAATTATCCTCAATTGTTAGATGCATACTAGTCGTGATTTTGTAGCTTTGTATAGTCTCCTCATTGTGCAACCGGCCTAACAAAATCCACCCGAGGTATGTATTTTGCGCTATAATGGTACCACGGGGGCCTTTTCTTAATCCTTCTTTCAGGATCTCACTGTAAATTTCTGCACTCAACAGGATATCAACCTTCCCAGGTGTGTCAAAGTATGGATCTGCTAAATCCAAGTTGTGCAGATGTAGCCAGTTCTGTTCGCGTATTCGTTGAGCAGGTAGTGCCCGAGTAATCGACTTCAAAACAAACGCCTGTACTGGTACAGTGAAGTTTGAATCATATCTCGATTGTGCAACGAATGTAACCATGCTAGTGGATGTGAGACTTGCTTTGTCATTGTCGCCCAGTCCATTAATTGTGCATCTGACTGTAGTTTTCTTTAATCCAAGGAACTGTGCAGCGGACTCCGTTATAAATGAACCTTCGGATCCCGGGTCTATCAGAGCACGCAAAGAATATGTAGTCCCATTTGTTGTATGAATTTTAACCAATGCTGTGGCCAACAGCACATTTTTGGTCATTTCCTGGTCCGCGTAATGGGCCACTACATTGTGTTCGACTGGTGTTGTAGCTACTTCAGGTTGTCTATTATCTCGTATGTGTGAACTTCCTCCTGCATCTGGAGAAAGATGATCTGAGGTGTTTCCTTCGGGGTGAATAAGTGAATGGTGTTTCTTACCACATCTCCGACATGTAGACCTTTGTTTGCATTTGTCAACGGTATGATACGGAATCAAACAGTTGTAGCATAATCTGTTCTGTTCCACGAAGCGTTTGCGATCAGTATATGTAAGGTGGGCAAATTCCTTGCATTGATATATAAAGTGATTCCCGTGACAATATTTACAACTAGTTTTGAAGGTCGTGTGAAAGGTGTTCTGCCTTGTACTAGGTCTGGACATGGTCTTTGTGGATTCCAACATCTCAAGAGTGCGAAAACGTGACTCAAGGTAGCTGCATAATTGTTTAAATGTCGGCAAGCTATTACCCTCGTCTTCTAGACTGATTTGTTGTTCCCATAAACGGATAGATTCTGGATCTAATTTAGTGACAGTTAGGTGAACTAGAATTGCATCCCAACTCAAGGTGTATACTCCAATATTGTTCAATGCACTTAGACATTCATTTGTTGTGTCAAGCAGGTTTTTAATAGTTCCTGCTGATTCTGTAGATAGCGACTTTTGTGACAGTAATCTTTTTAGAATAGATGTGACGATAAATCGTTTATTATTATATCGCTTTTGTAATATCACCCACGCATCTTCATAATTAGCTTCACTTATGGGTATGTGTTTTAATAATGTTGCTGCTTCTCCACTCAGACTAGACTTAAGATAATGTAGTTTTTGTACGTCCATAAGTGCTGAATTTCGATGAATAAGCGACACAAATAAATCATGAAATGGTATCCACTCGGAATATTTTCCTGTAAATACGGGAATATTAATATGGGGTAATTTTAATTCCGGAGCCATAGCTGTAGGTGCTTTCGACTGAGACGACGTGGTCTGATTACTATCTGAAGTCGGATTAGGTGAACAAAATGTCTTAAGAATCTCCTTCATCTCACATTTAGCAGCAGTAAAAATATCTTCAGTTAAATCATAAATTTCATTCTTTATGTAATCTGATTCATGTATATTAATCTCAGTGGTTATCATCAATATTTGATGATTTTGTTTAAAGTTGTTCCATAAATCTTCTAACAATTCTAATTTTACTTGAGCGTATGTTTCCGTCAGTCTAGCTTTAGGTGTTTTCTTAAAGTTTTTTAAAGCCTTGTCTAATTGTTTATGTAATTCCATTTGTGTTTTAATTAAATTCGCCATGTTAAATTATCACAAAATAAAGTCCAAATGAAATATTCACAAAAACAATTTACTAATCAGAGAAAACACAAAATGTCATTTAAACAGTATATTTTAAAGTCCTTGCAATGTAACACGAATTATTCTAAGTCTCTGACAGATGCATATGGTTACAAGTTAATAAAATATTGCTAATATTTCAAAGTTCCAAAACACTCAAATTTCTAAAGTTATTAGGAGTATCAAATTTTTCTATTTGATTAGAAGAAATTATTCAATGTTTTTAGGAGTATTCTAATTGCAAGTTTTTAGGATTATTAAATTTTAAAGTTTTTAGGAATGTCTACTAAATTTTTTACTACAAAGTTACTTTTAATTCACTAAGTTCCACTTTTAATTATTTTGTACTCACTGTTCTTTAAAGTCCAAAGTCCTTTGTCACTTTCACATTTTCTTCACTTATCCACTTTTGTCACTTTTACTTTTTCTTCACTTATCCACTTTTGTCACTTTTCTTCACTTTACCTTTTCATAAACACTACGACGCGATATACTAAGCGAACGCGATTTTTTTTAGAATCCGGCTGTCGAAAGACCAAATGAAGACGTCCGCGCCGCGATATTCAGACAGCCCAAAAACCTCGAAATGAAACACCACATACGAGGGAAAGAGTATAATGATATCAAAAAATGGTGTTACAAAATACTGAATAATAAAATTTTACAATTGTGTATATCAATCGATGAAAACGAAATAATATCGAGTTTCAGAAATCTAACAGCGCCATCTAGTATTCATTTCGGAACTAAATTACGTAAACAACATTTGCATTCTACAGATAATCATTGTGAGATATATAACTTATTTGCTACATTATTTTTATACTAACAGTACTATTTAATTATACAGATACTATATTTATAATTAATACATACTAGATATAGTGGCGCCCTCAACAAGTACCGTCGACTACAAAATATATAACAGTAACCTTTACGTATAAACAAGGTAAAACATTATTTTATTGAGGATTTTTTTATACTACTGGATAAATTTCTTTTGTTCCCGATATCGGACGTTCAGAATGTATAAACGTGTTTAGCGAAGTTTGTAGCGGTGAAATGCAAAATGAATCTTTGAACACGTTTAAACGGTTTCTCACGTGTTAAATTTTAATATACAATTTTCAATAAAAATAAAGCCAATATTCTGAAGCATTAGCTATATTATTGTACAGTTTCACCCAAATCCTAAACTTTCGGGTTCATACTAAGAAATACTTTAGAAAGTTAATCGGACTTTACACGAATTATTTTATGTTAAATAAAGACACACCAAAGTCTAAAAAAAACACTGTTTACAAGAAAACCTTGGGAAAAATATAATACTAACTGACAAATAAATTATAATGAGTTAGGAAATACAAAACATACATTTTATACACCAACAAAGACAAAACTGTATTGGTTACCACCATCGTTTAGTCCTCTCTATTGTATATTATATATATGTATATACAATCGAGTATTTCACTACGTGGATTGTAAAATGAACCTTTCGGATGTGAATGACTGCAGGGCACGTGGTAGGCGGCTTGAGCCCGGGGGCAGCCAGGGGCAAGCGGCAGCCGCGCAGACAGAGCGCAGAGGCAGAGAGAGAGAGAGAGACAGCGCGCGCGGCCGCGGCGCGATGCGCTGACGCCATGCGCCGCCAGACATGTCACGTCGCGCCGCGCCCGCGGCACTGCTGCTGCTCACACTCGTACTCGTCGGTGAGTACACGCACCCACGCGCTCACACCCACGCACACTCACGGACTCTTACCCACACGCACGCTCACACGCTCACACACTGAGCGTGCGTGAGTCCGTGAGTCTGTGAGTCCGTACTCACAAACTCACACGCACACACCCTCACACGGTCACACACCACCAGCCGCGCGGACACATTTACAGATCCTGAAACACTAACCCCCAATATATTCGTTTAATTATTATCATATAATAAATAATAAACGCTCACCAATACTGAACACGTCACCGATGAAACACAATGCCATATTGAATTTCATTTAGGCTATTAGTAAGTTATCTTAGCGAGTTATTATTAGTAAGTTATGTTGCCAGTACCCTGGCGACACTCCCTCCGGCTCTCACTGAAAGAGCGCGTTTGTTGACTCACCATTAGATTTCTAATTATTACAACACATTTATTATCTGGAACAAAGAGGTGACATTTCTGATAAGAAATTATAAACACGACATCCGATTATATTTAAACAATTTATACAATGTAGTAACTAGCGGCCTCCTTACATGCGGACGGACCTCCCCACATGTAATATTAATAATGCGATACGGGCCTTTATATTTTTAACTTTTGATCTCAATGTTTCAGTTCGCTAGAATTCTCCGGGTGTTCGGAGACGAAACGTATATTCCACACACATATTAGAGACCGAGCTACAAATAATCAATACTTCTAATAATATCACGTTACACATACACACACACAATACATATGAAAAACCGCCTTCAATCAACCCTAATATAAGATCGGCACGGAATGAGCTTTGATTGCAAAAAGGATAACCATTATCTGGCACCTAGTCACGTATCGATGTCATTAACATTTCTCAATTGTAACAGATCTCAATTTGGTCACAATCGAGACTGATTAATAACATCCTTAGTAATTAGATGTCGCCATATTGAGATTAACTTTTTGAAAGAACTTAACTGTTTGAATGCCATGGCACATGGTCACAGGAAGGCCGCGAGGCTGAGTTGCATGTATGTATGTGTGTGTATGTGTGTGTGTGTGTGTGTGTGTGTGCAGGGTGCGCCGGGAACCCGGACGCCAAGCGGCTGTACGACGACCTGCTCAGCAACTACAACAAGCTGGTGCGGCCGGTGCTCAACGTCAGCGACGCGCTCACTGTCCGCATCAAGCTCAAGTTGAGTCAGCTCATCGACGTGGTGAGACATACATACTACTACTACTATTATATTATATTATATTATATTATACATACACTAGCCGACCCGACCACGCGTTGTTGTGGCTAATGTTCTTGAATAAAATAATATTGCGATAATAAATTGAGATGTAAGCTATCTTCCAAGTTGGATCAAATTGCACACAATGTGCAAATCAAATTTGCAATCGGTTCAGTAGTTTAGGAGTTCATCGCGGACAAACAACGTGACAAGTAATTTTTATATAAAATTATATATAGTGAGCTAGTGAGCTACGCGAACATTATGAATATTTAAATCAGCTATCTTAATACCTTAGTGCTATAACTCTAACTGAATTATAGATTTACAAATTAAGGCATCGAAGATGTCACTGCAGTGATAAGGTTATAAGTTACAACAATCGGTAACCCTATGCTCATGAGAGCTATGAGGTAAACTTGTACATATACAAACAACTTCCTGTGTCAAACGTTATATATCAAACGTTATATATGTACAACAAATACCGTTATATATGTACAATAAATATTTCTGACAGCTAGACACACTTCCGTGCAGAGAAGATTTAAAAGTAATTTTATATTTCAAAAGTACCACCAAAAATAACATGTTCAAAGATTCCCAAAATGATACTGGCTTTTAAAGGAAAATGTTCAAACAACAATCGATGGTATCCTAAAGCGAAACGAAGCCGGCCGTCCGTGAGGTGGTACGCAGCCGCGGATGAGACCGACCGATTCTATTATATTTACTTTCCACAATATCGACATTCAGTTTATTATTATTGCAAGCTATTATTATATACATAAACTGCAATGTACGAAGATGTATTCATATTGAGTGTTCTTGTCTTTCTTTTTCAGAATCTGAAGAATCAGATAATGACGACAAATCTTTGGGTAGAACAGGTAATGGTTATATGTGTTCACAATTATGTAATATCAGGTCCTTACATATGAAATTCGTACTGGCCACTTTGATCTAAAATATCTCTTTGGTTAGGAATTACCATTTCAAATTTATACAGTTAAATAGCTGCATGAGTAAATACTCATTTACCAAAAACAACTGCATGAGTAAATATTCATGCAGTTGTTTTTCGGAAACCGCAATCAATACGTTTTTTCTTTGCGTCACTCAGCTTACAAAATGGAATCAAATCAAATCAAATCAAATCAAATCAAATCAAATTTATTTGCACTAAACATAGGTTTACATTGGTTGTTATTGTAATATAATGTCCCATTATGTTTTGCCTCATTAGGCATGCAAAATATATAAATTTTAAATATTAAACACTTAAAATATCGCGTTATTTCCGAGTACGAGTTCCGCCGTGGCACGGGGTGGTGCTGCAGAAACGGCTCTTATAAAACGCCAATTTCATATGTTAGGACCTAATAATAACATACGGCTAGTAGAAGTCATAGACCAAATAAATTATAAACTAAAAAAAATCTAAAAACTGTATTTTTTTTTCAGAGTTGGTATGACTACAAGCTGTCATGGGAGCCCCGAGAGTATGGAGGTGTTGAAATGCTACACGTGCCCTCCGACCACATCTGGCGGCCGGACATTGTACTATATAACAAGTGAGACTCCCTGTATACTGTTACTGTACAACTAACTGTTTGATAGTACTCGTGGCTTGCGTTATTGCTATTGCTATATATATATATATATATATTGTACTAGCTTTGACCCGCGGCTTAGCTCGCATAACTTGATTACTGGCTGCTAAATGGCGCTGAAGTAGCAATTTTTTTTTTTAAATAAAGTTTTCTGTGTTCATTCTAATGCCACCCAGAGCATGTGTACATTTATAATATTAGTAAGGGTGTTTGCTCGCGTGTTGATTGGTTGGTGTGTGTACATGTTCATGGTGGTGCAGTGCGGACGGCAACTTCGAGGTGACGCTGGCCACCAAGGCGACCCTCAACTACACGGGCCGCGTGGAGTGGCGCCCGCCCGCCATCTACAAGTCCTCGTGCGAGATCGACGTCGAGTATTTCCCTTTTGACCAGCAAACTTGCGTCATGAAATTTGGCTCTTGGACCTATGACGGATTTCAAGTAAGAAGTTTATTTAAAGTTACTTTTCTTAAAGATAATTATACATATATTTAAAGTCTTCATAGACACGTGTAGAATATATACATTTATTATTAAGTAAATATACATTACCTCGTACTTTATGATGTAAAGACATGTGTTGATGGGAGTGTCCGGTGTGCAGGTGGACCTGCGACATATCGACGAGGCGCGGGGCACCAACGTGGTGGAGCTGGGCGTGGACCTCTCCGAGTTCTACACGTCCGTCGAGTGGGACATACTCGAGGTGCCCGCCGTCAGGTACCACTCACGTCAATTGTACACAACAAAGTGTCGCCACATTGATTACACTGAATAGTACAGTGAACACTTACTTGGTTCACAGGAATGAAAAGTTTTACACTTGCTGCGACGAGCCATACTTGGACATAACGTTCAATATCACGATGCGGCGGAAGACCCTGTTCTACACGGTGAACCTGATCATCCCCTGCATGGGCATCTCATTCCTGACCGTGTTGGTATTCTACTTGCCGTCCGACAGCGGCGAAAAAGTGTCACTCTCCATATCCATCCTCCTCTCGCTCACTGTGTTCTTCCTGCTGCTAGCGGAGATCATTCCGCCCACATCCCTGGTCGTACCGCTGCTCGGCAAGTTCGTGCTCTTCACCATGATACTCGATACTTTCAGGTAGGTGGTAAAACAGTCGAGTTCCATTTTAACGTATTCTACAATGTCGAATAACAGTCACATATGTACGTATGTTACCTCTTGCAGTATCTGCGTGACGGTGGTGGTGCTGAACGTCCACTTCCGGTCGCCGCAGACGCACACGATGGCGCCGTGGGTGCGCCGCGTCTTCATCCACGTGCTGCCGCGGCTGCTCGTCATGCGCCGCCCGCACTACCGTCTCGATCCGCATCGAAGTCGATTGTGAGTTACTTACGCCCACACCACTTCCCTCAGAAAACAGCCTGTTGATTCTTTGTTATTTTGAAAATTTTCGCAATGTACTTTATACTTACTTGTTACATAAATAGTTTACACTGGCATAGTTCGTCGAGACAATGAGTGCGTGTGTGTTGACAGCGCCGGGCTGGCGGCCGCGGGCCCGCCGCCGTGGGAGGGCTCCCCCGGCGGCGGCGCGCCCCCCGCGCCCGCGCCCCCGCCCCCGCCCCCCGCCGCGTGCGCCGCGTGCCGCGCCTGCCGCCTCCACGACGCGCCCGCGCTGTGCGACGCGCTGCGCCGCTGGCACCGCTGCCCCGAGCTGCACAAGGCCATCGACGGCATCAATTACATTGCAGACCAGACGCGGAAAGAAGAGGAGTCCACCAGGGTAACATACTGTTACGCTAACGTTTTGAATATCACGTACCGTAGTGGTCCCTTCGACTGTACTGTCGTTTTCTTTCATTAGGTCAAGGAGGACTGGAAGTACGTGGCGATGGTCCTGGACCGGCTGTTCCTGTGGATATTCACGCTGGCGGTGGTGGTGGGGTCGGCGGGCATCATATTGCAGGCGCCCACTCTGTACGACGAGCGCGCGCCCATCGACGTGCGGCTCTCGGAGATCGCGTACGCGACGGCCAAGCCGCGCCCCCCGCCGCCGCCGCCGCCGCCGGGCCCCCACTAGCCGCGCCCCGCGCCCCGCGCCCCGCGCCCCGCGCCCCGCCGCTCCCGGGGCCCCGCACCACGCACCCCCGGCGATCATAGAGACCGACGATGCGATGCGTTCGTCGCTCGTTCTATATTATCCGGCGCCCGAGGGCTCCGCACCACGTAATATTTTACGATGTTGTAAATAATATACATATTATAGTTTATACGACGAGCGATGCTATTAAGAATGACTCGAATTTCTTTTGATAGAGACGAATAAAACGATTGTTTATAACATGTCTTTCAATTTCAATCTCAATAGAAATCCTTGCAACAGAATGGAGTTAAGCAGCTTTGCCGTGTGCAGTGTAAGAGAATTATTTAATATTGATCAAACTTAGTATATTTTAGTTATTTTCATATTTGAAACTAAGGGATCCAGAGGGACTCAAACAATTACATGCAGACAAATAACACAATAGAATTTGGCACATTTAAAAAAAAAAAAATTAACATTAAATATCTAGTGTCGTAGTACTTCAATATGACCCGGTCATTGTATGTGAACATATTTTTTTTAATTTAGTTGAGCATGAAGCTAGTAGTGAATTTAAAACAAAAACATTTTCAACTAGTGTAAAATCAAAGTTTTGTGATTGGGCCACGTTTGGTATTTATAAGTCTAGGGCTAATCTTTACGAACTTTACGAAAAACGAAGCTATATATCCGGTCCGTTATTTCATGAAAATATTTAAAAAGGTTTGTCAGACAGTTAAGTCTCTTTATTTAGGTTAAATAATAACTAAATCTAAAGATAAAATAAAAGCCTCTTGGAAAGTAATAAATAGCGAAACTCGAAAAGTAAATGTTCTAAATAGCAAAATAGCTTTAAATATTAATAACAAATTGGTAAATTCCGACACAGAGATCGCGGATACATTCGAATCTTATTTCACTAATATTCCATTAATTACGACACAGGCTCTAAAATCTTCCCCGTCTGCTGCTGAAACTTTACTAACAGACAATGTTAGCAAGTCATCAGCTGTATTTAACTTATTTTTTTTTTTATATAAACCTGGAGATAACTCCTATCTCCAGATTTATTATGTTCAATTTAAATAATTATAACGTTGTCAGCTGCTGCAATATGATGTTCAATTTAAATAATTATAACGTTGTCAGCTGCTTCAATAGAAAGTCAGTTAACAGAGGCGGGTCTATGATAATTGCAAGAAATAATATTAAAGTAAAGGAACGTGCTGACATTGTTAGACTTTCTATTGAGTGTTGTATAGAATTATCTTGTATAGAACTAGAAAATTATATCCTTATATGTGTGTACAGGCCTCCTAATAGTGATTACAATGTTTTTGAAGGGGTGATGGAGTATATTTTAAAAAAAATATTTAATAGTCTTAAAAAAATTATTGTATGTGGAGATTTTAACGTTGATATTCTTTGTAACACACCCACATGTACAAAAATTATTAGTTTATTTCAGTCATTTGATTTAAGTCATGTCTTTCATGAACCCACTCGTGTAACTGCCACGTCTGCTACTTGTCTTGACAATGTTTTTTGTAACTGTGAGTATACAGAAAAATTCATAATAAATAAACTTCCTTCAGATCACTGTGGTCAAGTTGTTAAGTTTAACAGTCAGATCAATAAAGTCAACAATAATAAAAAATCAAAAAGACAAATAAATGTTTACAATATTAACAAATACAAAAGCGCGATTAAAAATAAATTGGATTTGCTGTTACAATATAGTAATAATCCTGATTATCTTTACACCAAGCTAATTACTATTCTATCAGGAGAATATGAACAATTTTTCAAGAAAAAAGAAGTTTATGTTAAATCTAAATTCACGGAATGGGCAACAGTAGGTATACTTAAAAGTAGAAATATTTTGTTTGATTTATACGATCAAAAAAAATATCGATTTGATGACAAATTCACCACTTATGTGAAAAATTATTCAAAAATTTTTAAAAAAGTTTGTATTACGGCTAAATCTAATTATATTAATAAACAAATTAACCAGTCTTCTGACAAAATTAAAACCATATGGGGCATTATAAATAAAGAAACCGGAAGATCTAAATTAGCCTATAATCAATTTGCATTAAATTATGATAATAAATTAATAACAGCAACAAAAGATGTAGTTAATGTTTTTGAAGATTTTTTTGCTAATATTCCGATTAATATTACATCTTCTCTGGACTCATCTCCATCTCGAGCAAAAATATTACTAGAGTCTAATATCGGTTGTTGTGCTTTAAGATTTAAATTTTCACATGTTAGCCCCGTTCATATCATAAAAATATTCAAACATCTAAATTTAAAAAATACAGAAGACCTTTGGGGCATGTCTGTAAAAGTAGTTAGTTCTTTCATAGATATTGTTGCTCCATATCTAGCTACTATTTTTAATAAATGTATTGATAATGGGACTTGTTCCGGCACTCCTTCAACACTCTTGAACGCAATATATTTTAACTGCAAAAAGTTGCTATTTAAATGTTCACAGGAGTATTGGATTTGTTTTCGATGTACCTGCGTTATTTTGTATTCTCTCACTTTTTCTTCGTCTACAAAAATCAATCGGTCTCCTCAAAATTGTTAAAAATAATTATTAAAATTCAATATTAAAAGCAAATTTGGGTTTCATTTGAAACTCCGATGTGTTAGCGAAGACATATTAAGGTGGCCCATGAAAAGAACAAAATTTTACCAAGATATTCGTAAATCAAAATCTCCTATACAACTACGCAACGTGGCGGACGTGTTCTACTACGTCGTATATCATCACAAAATCATCACGAGGATTGAATCGAAGTCAAGATTATCTGGGAATCGTCTTCATGTAATGAACAGTGAAGCAACAAAAGCATCACAGCATACACAGCGGTCCTGACTAAAAGATAAGTGCCTTCCCTCATTCCTTTACAATTATCCAAATTACTTTCATACAAAATCGCTTCTAAAACATATTTAATCTATCTTATTTTTATAAAATATATATTAATTATAAGTTAGTTATATTATTTATAGGTAACTATTGCAAAAAATAGTATAAATATACGTAAATACATAAAATAAAAAGTAAGAAACCACGAACAAAAGTGAGTAATAAAATACTTTTAGGCAATTTGCTTAACACATAAATGAGTAATTAGTTGATATATTTTCTTATTTCTCATTTTATATTGTTTCTGTCCACTTATATTAAAACTGTCTCTCTTTGGGGTATACAGAGACTATTATATAAAGAATAAAAATTGTGTAACCTACAATTCATTCCTGCTATTTGGTGAATTTATTGTGCAAACTAATTGTTGAACTTAAAATACAGCTATAGAACATGTAATATTGTTATATGTCGACTTATAAATATCGTAAAACTAGTAACATTATTATATTTAAACTCAATAAATATTAAAATAGTTGATTTCCAATATTAAGCAAATTAAACGGGTAGGTATCCGTATTAAAATTTAGGTCAGTTATTACAATGTTCTAACGTAATTTTGCCGACTAATTCCAGTGACATCTATCGCTGCGCGCGGGGTTGAGCTGTGCATTGAGTGACAGCGCGACGTTAAGCAGCTGCGTGAGCATCGCCGCTTTCGCTGAGCAGTGGTAGCCAAAGCAAGGAGCGTGAGAATTTTATTTGTTTTCTTTCTTACTTGATTACAATAATTATAAATAGTCACAAATTATACTTAAACCTAATTCAATATAATAACAACTAATACTTGTTTTGCAAAATGACCGATAAAGAGACAAATGCGTTGTCATTATCACAATCTTCATTAGGTACAATACGAAGTAATTTAAAGGAATTAGTTACAAAGCGTAGCTCAATAAAGGGACAGATAACAAAATTTAAAAATTATTTGTCACAATTAAAGGATCAAGATCAATTTTCTAATATTGAATTAGCAGAATTAAACATCAAAATAACTAAATTTGAAGGGTTGTCTATAAAATTTGATAACTTACAAAGCGACATTGAAGTTTTAAATGCAGATAATATTGATTTCGAAATTGAAGAACGTGACAATATTGAACGTGATATTATAATTGGCATCGCAACTGCTAAAACTTTAGTCGAGGCTCATACTGATAATGCTAAAGATCAGTCTCAGTGCTTTCACGATCATCAAGAAACGAGCTTTAAGCTCCCGCAAATCCAAATTTCTAAGTACGACGGTTCTTATTTGCGGTGGCTAGAATTTCGTGATTCCTATGAAAGCTTAATTCATAACAATAGCCGTATCTCACCCATTCATAAGTTTCATTATCTTACATCATATTTAGAGGGAGATGCAGCTAGAATTATTTCTAATCTCGAAGTGTCATCTGCTAATTATTCTGAGGCATGGAAAATTATTTGCGATAGGTATAATAACAAAAGATCATTAATTAATCATCATCTTAAATCATTATTTAATATACAACCACTCGGTCGCGAATCTGACAGGTCGCTGAGATTCTTAGTGGATCATGTAACTAAAAACTTGCGTGCGTTGGCCTGCTTAGACCAACCGACAGATCACTGGGATATATTATTGATCTATATGTTGTCTACTAAATTAGACAATATAACATTAATTAAATGGGAGGAACATAGAAATACTCTCGACGATGTTCCCACTTTAAAAGAATTTTATAAATTTCTAAATGATCGTGCCGATGTCTTGGAGTCTTTGACTCATAATAAAAATGATAATAACTTTCATAAAAATATACCCACAAATTCTCGTCATTCTATACCTATTAATAATACAAATAAAATAAATTCTCCAAGCTCACATCATAATCGTACTTCATATACAAAGTCTTTTACTAGTATTAATCAAAATAGTAATAAATACCTATGTATCATATGTAATGAAAATCATAAAATATATGATTGTTCCGTATTCAAATCTAAGAGCATACAAGATAGATTAACGGAAGTGTCCACATATAAGTTATGTCCAAATTGTTTAAGACAAGGCCATCCATTAAGTGAT